CAACGAGATTATTTCATATGTTTCGAAGGACCTTGGAAAGATTATCTGGAGGCATTTATACCAAATAAAAGGAAGTCCTGTTTTCACAGGTTTCGCCTGCAAAAAATAAGCCGTATTTGTAAGCGATTCTAGGTGGCCCCAACTCCTACAGGTATGTGATATCCAAGGCCCCTGGATCATCAGGGATCCCGCGTCGAAAATGCATCGAAATGGCTTATTCCACTAAACCTAGACTTTTCTCGAACGAACGCACAGCTAGCTAGCTGTACAGCCCTAGGACCGACCTGCTGACGACATATCCCCTTGGATATCAAGCTTCACTTCAGGGATACCGACGTGAAGTCCCCGACCGGCGAACCCAACTGTTCCCATCGGTTCAGAGCCCCGAGTGTTGGAGTGATTTGGACGAGGGGGCTGGCTTTGGTACAGTGCGTTATTCGAATCTCGTAGATTTCCCATGATTTTTCACTAGTGTTACGTCCACTTGCTCTACGAAGTTACCTGTCAAAGCAACTCAACCGACTTAGACTGGTTGATTTTGTTGGATTTTTTTCTGTATGGGGCTCACAAGATATGCGCATTCGCTCAGATTACTGTGGGTGGTGTTAGTGCCACGTATATATATATAACCTAGTGGCATCCTTTTGTGCTCAGGTATTGGATCTTAACTTTCTGAGACTCCATAAAATGTTCGTGGTCTATGGTTTCACTGGTGTTATCGTTTCAAGTTCAGACATGTCATTCCGATTTAAAGTCGAAAGTTGGTATCTGCGAGTAGATTTCACACACTGATATTGCCTAGGGGAAAACAGTGCGGCTTCAATTGTACAATCCTGTGGTGGATTACTTTTGTTTGTATGCTTCGATAAAATATGGCATAAATGCAATTACAGAAAGTGTGGTGTTCTATGTCCTCTAATCAATGGCTTCGACGTGATTTTGCACCAAACGATAATATTTAATTTTTCAGAAAATTTATATTCCGAATAGTCCAAATTTCACTTTCTATCACCCTCGTCAGTATTTTTCTTGAAGTTCGCTGCACCAATTCCTAATCACCCCATCGAAATGTTGCTTGTTAGTGTCGTCGGAACGACCAAGACTTGTGGACCCTAATGCATAGGTTATACGAACTACGTCATTCCTCATGTATCCAAGAACTAACTTGTCGGCGCCAACATGAAGCGGAAAATCTCGATCATGGATAACCGATTCAACCAACATCTGTGTGCGATGAACGAACTCGTTGCCAGGACAAACCGATACAAATGGCGATATTATTGAGCGATTGTCCTGGATTCCAACAATGATTGATGGGCAGCTAGCTAAAACCTCTGCTTTTGTGAGCAAACATGGCTGACAAACTCATACAATTTATGGCAGGGTACTTTAATGTTGACGATGCCAATTTAACTGTTAGTCGTGATGTTCATCAATTCCAAGCACGGTGTCCAATCCAAACGTGGCTACCATATCTGGGGTAATTATTAGTATATTCAAGTTGAAAGGCTACCGGAAGCAGTACCTTGCTAAGAGCCTGGTCTGTGAACATTTTGTTCCCGCTTTTGGTCATTCACGCTTGGTCCGGATAATCGTTAATCGGATTAAATGTACATTCTTGGTCGGGGAAGGCATTCACGCTTTGAAATAACCATGGACACTTTCAAGCGAGTTGCTGTTGCTGTCGCCACGGTGGTGTGTGCTGTGTGTATGTCAGTCGCCCCCATCACAGGTGGTGGGAAGTACAACGTGTTGACAATAACTGAAGTCAACTTTGACATAATGTTGGGGGACCCTCACTACGAGCAATGGTTTCGCGACAACCTTCGATGCGACCAGACCACCTTTGGACGACTAGTTGTATGGCTGCGTTGTCAGATGCCCCAGCAGTTCCTGCGTCGTTCCGTGCATTCGTTTGAGAAGAAGGTCGCAGTGTTTTTGTTCTTTCTCGGCTCAGAAAGAGGATACCGTGAGACCGCAGCCGCATTTGGGATGGCCAAGTCCTGGTGTATTGATGTTGTGGCGTCCTTTGTGCTTGCAGTATCAAACCCATGCACATGAATGGATCAGTATCCCCACCAGCTCTAGTGAGTGGCATCGAATCGAGCGTGGGTTTTTCAAGTGCCAAAAACTACCAGGGGTTGTAGGAGCCATCGACGGCACCTTAATCGATATTCAGCGTCCTCGCGAGTATGATGGATTCTACAACCGGAACGGCAACCCGTCGCTTAATGTGCAAGCCATGGTGGACCATAAAATGGTCTTTTTATCGGTGGACATTCGCCCGGGATCATTTTCGGACAAGCAAATATGGAAAGTATCCGTACTTGGGCAGTCCATACGTCGACGTTTACCAGCTGGTTGTTATCTTCTTGGTGACTCTGGGTATACACTACTACCGTGGCTACTGACGCCATATGTGCCGCATGAAGAAGGTGGTGCGTTGACGAGGTCCCAGAAGCGGTTCAATTATCGGCTGTCGAGCACCCGCATGGTTGTGGAGTGCGCTTTCGGCCGCTTGAAAGAGCGGTTCCGAATTTTGAAGACTGTGATGAATGAAAAGTCCCTCGACCACACCGTTGCCATAGCTACCTGTTGCTTCGTGTTGCACAACGTGTTTATTCATTTCAGCGATGGTTTGTTTTCTGCACCGTGTCGCCGACGTGACCGAAACACATATTTCCAACCTGCCGACAAGAGTGAAACCGAAACGAATCAATTTATTCGTCGGACGGCAGTTGCCAAGCGAAACGGAATTGCCAACATTAGATTGTATTGAATGTAACTGTTACAATTACTTGTCCATGAATCAATTTTCTTTTTGGGCAACTAAATGGGCGAGGAGTTTGGCCATCGTCGCGGACTGTCCTTGAATTGCACGCAATACATCGTCCATAGTCGTTCCAGTTGTTGGCACGTGACTGACAGTGGGCGCAGCAGCTAGCGATGTCCCCAAGTGAATCAGTCCATCCTTGAGAGCCAAGAAGCCGGCCTCCAAGGCCTCACTATGTTTCTTGGGTTTAACCACTTTCGATCGCTTCTTTCGACGTTCGTACGATGTTTCATCATCGCTCTGATCCTTCAAATCGTGCTCATCCTTGATATCGATGTCTAACATTTTAACCAAAAGAAATTCTATAACAAAAAATAATATTTATATTTTTTTTCTGGATACCGTCCGAGTAATCGTTGCGTTTGTCGTCTGTAACGTCAGTCGACATCAGCGATTCTCGCTGATACCCCTTTTTCGCGCTCCAATACTCCAGCATCACATCGTAATGCAACGGCAGGGGTGACAACGCAGCGTTCCCAGTCTGGCTGGGACTGGAAGGCTTAGAAATTACCCATGCCGCTTTCATTTTCGTAAACTATGAATTGGAAATTTTTATGGTACCAAATGCAAGCACACATATGTACCTTGTCCTGTATCTAGGCGACCGAAATGTCTCGCTCCATGGACACGCTCAACTCAGCAGCAAGCATGACATAGGCAGCCTTCTTCTCAGCGTTGTTCTTAGATTCGAAGCGAAGCGCCAAGTGGGACTTGTAGCGTAGATGGAACAACGCCGCAACGCCGTCGTCATCCCACAGATGGGTCCGTTTTGGTGTTGTGGTGGGGGACCGCCGCGAACGCTTGGAGTTCGTTGGCTGGGGTGTTTGCGGTTCTACACGACGAAAGTGAGAGTAAGTTAACGGTCAAGTTATGTCTACC